CTGAAGTCAGTCTGGGCAATTCAGAGACCCTGTCCCAAAACAAAATCAAAGGGCTAGGGATGTGACTCTTTCATTTTTTTATTTACTAATCATAAATAGAATAGCAAAGTTTCTCAATCTTATCTTTAAAAAGAAAAAAAGACTAAATGTTTTTCCCTAGTGTAACTTACTCTGTCGTTTCACCTTTAGGCAAATAGCTGCCCAGCTTACATGCTGAGCTCTTTCTTTCGGCCCCACTGGATTTTTCAAGTGTCGATTGAACACTTTTGCCCAGATGTTCCACCAGCACTTAAGGCTACATGCCTGAAAACTAGACTCATCCAAAAATACTTGGCTCCCTCTCCTCTAGATCCTCTTAACAGCCTCACAGATCTAAAGCCGTCATCTTTTTCTCTTACAGTGGCTCCCAGGTTTTTGTACCCTCAATAATGTTGCTATTCATCCTCTTCTTTCATGATCCTAATTTAGACTTTATTTCTTACATAACTACTGAAATTGTTTTTGCATCACTCTCTATGTTTCCATCGTCTTCCTGCCCCCTCTGCCCTACTATATTATCATACATTATGGTCTAACATGTTTGGCTGTATTTCCTGTTTCCCAAATTCTGGTGATAAAATACTAACCACCCCAGGGTGATGAATGAGAAGGTAAGATCTCTAGAAGGTGATTAGGTCATGAGAGCACAGCCATTACGAGTTTCTCTACACTGTGAAGTGATGCACAAAAAGACAGTTACCTAAAGGCACCTAGATTTGAACTTCCTAAAGTGTAAGAACTCAATTTCTGTTGTTTATATACCACTTGGCTTGTGGCATTTTTGTTATAACAGCCTGAAATGGACTAAGATACCTGGTAAACCTTCAGGCACAGCATCAATTAAGTCTTTCCCATGTTCAGAATCTCTACCTGCAGAACTTCTGACTCATCTGACAGCTTGGGATTTGTCAACATTATTTCCTCCTTTGAATTATAATCACTTTGTATACGGGTCTTTAATACTTTATCAGACATCTATGCATGATATGTGGTCTCAAATACCACCTAGCACTTTTCACAGCTTAGGAATTTAACTGATATTTACTGAAGGAAATGTAGGATGAATGGATTCACTACCACTAGCTTTTCTTCCACTGGATACATGCCAGGCATGCTCACTTCCACACTCCGACCTGACTAAATCTTAATCATTCACTGAACAGGACATCATCATTTTAAGAAACTGAAACTTAAAGACAAAGCAGGATCAAGCTCACCTACTGAAAAAGGAAAAATATGATAACAGAAATAAAGCTCCATTTTATTTCTTACACTAGGTAGCAAAAAGATAGACACTATTATTCTTTACATCTCCTTAATTTGGTACATCTCTTTGAATATTTCAAATAGTAAACAAAAACCCAAGGCATCAAAAACATTTATCTAAAAGAGATCACCCTCTCAACAGTAAGGAAGTTTTTCACTTATTCTGTTGCTTCATATTCGTTAATTTTATTTGCTAATCAGACTGACAGAAAAAAGTTTCATCATATTTTGAGATTGATCTATGCTGAGCAATGACTCATGAGACTAAAAACTTTCCCACCCTTCCCCATCAAAGTGTGCTCAAGCAGCTAATGATATAGTAAAGAAAAGCAAAATGAATTATGGTTCTCTCTAATAAAAAAAACAAAGTTGTGAGTCCTCTTATAACTTAATAACCCTCTCTAATTGGTCTGAGTTTTCCTTCCCCATAAGGCAGAGGTACTGTTTTGAAGAGTAAATGACACCCCCCACAAAATAACCAGCTTGGTTTAACAACTGGAGGCTTATTTATAAGACTATTCTAGGTGACACACAGCTTATTAGGGTTTGGATTGAGTTTCAGGACTTCATTAATTCACGTTGGTGGACAAGGAAAAAGGAAAACTGCTGTGTTTCAAAATACTTAAAATACTGAATATGGGGGGGCTGGGGATTTAGCTCAGCAGCATAAGCACCTGCCTTGCAAGCAGGCGGTCATGAGTTCGATCCTCGGTACCGGTAAAAAGAAAAAAGAAAAAAAAAGTGTAAAAAAAAAAACTGAATATGGTATTCTTTTTCTTTCTAAAGATGTTTCCAGGTGACAGCAAAGTTTAACAAACTTTGCTTACAATAAAAAATATCCATCAGTTCAAATCCACTTCCCAGATGGCTAAAATTATCCATCAACGGAATTACTTAGAAATTGTTTTTTAAAAAAGAGTTAAAGGGGCTGGGAATTTAGCTCAGTGGCATAAGCACCTGCTTTGCAAGCAGGTAGTACTGAGTTCGATCCCTGGTACCGATAAAAATGAGAAAGACAAAAAAAAAAAAAGTTAAAAATTAAGAAATGATGGAGCTGCCTGCAACCACTAAACTAAAAATGAGGCAGTGCAGTCTCGAAAGAGTATTTAAACATTTAGGAATATGTTGATATTTCATGAGTCTACCAAAAATTTCAAAGGCACATCACATAAGGAGCTGCTTTCAATAGACTCTGTTAGTGTGGTACATACAGACTTGTTACGATTGACAAAACCCATAATGTTCATACAGCAAGTAAGAATGCTCACAAGAAGTAAGGAAGCAGAAGACTGAACTTTAAAGTGAAATTTAAGTGCCAATATCAAACCTCAGAGCTTAGAATTTGCCCATCATAGGGGCCAGGGATATATCCAGTGGCATAGTGCCTGTCTGGCAAGCACAAAGTCCCAAGTTTGATTCGTGGTACCCCTCCACGAAAAAAAAAAAAATCATCTGAAAAATTTGCCCATCATGCATCTGAACATGCCTGCATAATACTCAAACACAAGTAGTTTTAGTTAGCTCAGGTATCTCCTTCAGGTTCAATAACCTGGGCATAAAATTTATACATTAATATGAGAGTCTTAATTAACTCTATTGAAACTTGAAAGATTCCATAAGGATTGCAGAACACATCACCCTTTGCTTACTGTTGAGTTCAATTCTGTTAGGCAACCAGCCTCTGAACCAAAGAACAGCTCTTCTGGGACTGAAACAAACATCATAGATGTCTTCACACACAACCATATGCCTTCATCCATATCCCAACTTACAAATTTTAAAAAGTAAAAAATGTACCCTGTTTCTCAATTTCAGCAGAGGTGGAACTTCTGGTCTATTTTCGAGGTCCATGTGTTGTGATTTTGGCTCCCACAGAGCCCAATGCCAAATCAAAGAGTTCAGTCTTAGGACTGAGCACACATGCAAATTTTGGCCTCTCCACAGCAGGACCAATGGCTGCACTTGAATTTAGCTTGGCCCACAACCAATCACAAGTACTTCTCTTGCCAAGAAAGGTGGCCAATTCTGCCTTGAGCAAGGTGAGAAAAGTTGAGAGTGGAAACTATTTATAACCTCCTTTCGTAGTCCAATAAAAATCCTAAATCTCTCCCCTCTCACAAGATATCCCTATATGGACCCCGACAATTCAATCCTCACAACCACAGGAAGAGGTAACACAGAGGTATCTAGGCCAAGTAAAGGCCCAAGAGCATAATCAGACAAGATGACAAAAGACTTTAGGAGTTGAGATGAGGTTAAGAGGTGGCAGTTTAATATAAGATGGGCAGACAGCTTAGCTTGGTAAATTCAGTAAGTGATACTTCAGAGGAACAGATTGTTTTCATTTCAACATATGAAACAGAAATGAACAAGGTATTTGTACTCAGGAACTAACAACCAAGAGAGTTCTGGTAGTTAACAGCTGTTCTAACTGCATAACAACAGACCCTCCACCTTTACTACACATACCCAGTGCCGTATGCCTCCCTAGACTCACCTTGGGGACAGCCTCTTCAACCACACACACCTGGGTATTGAGCCAGAAAGGATAGTGTACTTGCTCATGTCAGGACTCAAATAACAGCACCTCCTGCCAGCATGCCCCATACCATCTCCTCCTCTAACCAGTCCAAGCTTCCTGATTTCAGCTTCCGTTGGTTCCCCTCTCAGCTTGCACTCTTCCTGATTTCTGCTAATTCCCCATTTCAGCTTAATTTTAGCTATATTTTAACCACCATGCCACTTGTCCTACTGTTATACAACACCAGAAATACAAAATGCACACATAATACTTAACAACATAAACGAGCTGTCTCCCCCCCACCACCAATGAGGCAAAAGAGGATACCTAATATTCTAAAGTGGAATCATGGATGAGTTTTCCTTCTTAGGTATTTTTTCAAACATGTGTCCAAACTGAAGGCAAACCCATAGCCCAAGATTCTTATCGTGTTAAAGCAGAAAAACAGGGTACAAATTCAAAGCACCCAAATTAATGCCATAAAGTTCTGACTTGAACACTCAAGAACAGAACAAGTTTAATTCTTGAATTGATTTTTAAAAATGAAGAACTATTAATGCACCTACTGAATGTAAAAAAGTTCATAAAGTCTGCTATACTTACAGATTTAGACACTCCACCCCCAGCCACGCCAAAAAAACCTTTAACAAAATATAGTGTCTTAACTAAATTTTTCTACAAATTTTTTGCCTATTCTTTAATAACTTCTAAAGAAAAACTTCAGATGTTGAAAAGAGAAAAAAATCTTTTAAAAGTTACCAAATACTTTTAAGAACTTGGCTCTTAAGCTTTGTCTAGTTAAAATTTCAACAGCCAATGCCTGAATAGGCTGAAGTGGTAAAACTAATGAAAACAAAATATCTTGCAGTTTCTTAGTTGATTTTCCATGTCCCCTGAAGCCCAGGTAGGTCAGAATTGGAAGGAAGTGGGGCCCAACCCTTATACAATATACATATACCCATGCAATTGTTCCTAACCTGGGTATGTAATTCCAAGAATTTACATTAGCTAAACAGATCTCTGTAAACTGCCCACAGAGGGTAAGCCATCTTAAATACATTTAGTTAAGCAAAACATTCCTGCAAGGGCACTCAAGTTTCACTCAGAAATATGGAGTGCCATTCTCTACAATCTTTAGGGCAGGAAGGAGAAATCACTGAAAACATATTCTTACCATTCTCACTGGGCTCTGTGGGCTTGGACACTTCTCTGAACGGGATTATAACTGCATCGCCAGGCACCCTGGGGCTTTCCACATACTTGGGCTTCCTGATGGGACCTGCAGTGGGAAAGATCTGAGTGTGGCTAATTTTTTCCAGATGCAAATAAAGCTTCAGAATGTACACTGTGTGTCTTTACTAGGATGCAAATATGCCTAAAGGAAAAGCCAGCCTCTTCCCTCCCTTAAACACACACACACACACACACACACACACACACACACACACACGCGCGCGCACACCCCAAGTCAACCTCAGGGCAGATACAGAATGTCCAGGCTGAGCTGCCAAACAAGAGTAAAGCTCAGTTTGGGGAACATTAACTCTGACAAAAACAAAAGCTGTTCTTTGGCTGAGAAGTCTCTACAGCTGTCTTCACCGCATCAAAGTCACTGCAAAGTAGGTAACTTTGATATACTCAAACCTGGACAGCTTTTTTAATATCATTTTCTTCTAATGAATAAAGATGATTTGGTTGCTTGGTACCTTCAAAGTCAGGAGGCAAGGACTACAAACAGCTGGTTTGTAACATCTACAAACTCTATGCAGCCAATGAACAGTGGAATCCTATTGGGCTGGTGACACAGGGTAATTGTGAGGCCCCGAGGATGCCTGCTGCTTTCAGCACAGCAGCCAATGTAGCATGTGACTCAGGGACACCAGAGAGACAGTCTCATCTCCCTTCCAACCCCAACTTGTCATCAGAAAATCTGAAATTCTTATTAAGACTGGACAGAACTTCATTTGCTGCTGGGAATAGGCAATAGTATATAGCCATTTTGGAAAACATATTAACACTAAGTTGATCAAAAGGTTAAACATGGGCCAGCAATTCCACTCCTATGTGAATATGTATGTATGTATCTGCACACATACCTTCATAGTAGTAGTATTTATAATAGCTAAAGTCCCATCAACCAATGAAACCAATGTGATATTGCCACATGCTGAAATATTACTGGAAAATGAAAAGGAATGAAGCGCCAGTTCATACTATAATATGAAACTTGAAAGCTAAGCGAAAGTAGCCAGTCACAACAGATCACATACTGTATTATTCCACTCATATGTAACAACAAGAACAGGCAAACCTACAAATGAGGAAGGGGTGGGGATATGCAGGCTTGTGAGGTGATGACTAAGGAAATTCTTTTGACAGTAAGAAAATGTTCTAAAACTAGACAGCAGTGATCCTTTAAAGGTCCAACTTTGTAAACATACTAAAAACTCCTGTGCGATAGGTTAACTGGGTGAATTACATGACATATAAATTGTATTTTTAAAAAGCAGCTTTTTAAAGAAACAGACTATCCTACTCTATCTGCTCACTTCACATATCACTTCATTATGGTTTAGAATCACCCAACTGAGCCACATTTTCCATGAGTGCCATTCTGTGTGCATGCGATGATTTTTCTTCAGTTTTTATTTTTTTGTTAACATGAGTTTGCAATACATAATGATTCCACTGCTTATGGAGAGCAAGTACATATACATACCTCATCTTAATTCTTTTTCATCTCTCCCCTCGCCTCCCTCCAACTCTTCGCCTGCCCCCTTCCCTTTTGCAAAAGATCACCCTATTCCCTATTATCTTTTTATTTTGCTCTATTTATATTTTGGGCTTCTCATATAAGAGAAATCATGTGACATTTAAGCTTGTGGGTCTGATTTATTTTACTTAACATTATGGTCTCAAAGATGTATCCATTTTCCTAAAAATGACTCAAGTTTATCCTTCTTTATGGCAGAATAGTACTGCATTGTATATAAATAACGCATTTCCCTTATCCATTCATCTACTGATGAACATACAGGCTTCTTCCAAGATTTAGCTATTATGAATTATACTATTATAAACATAGGTAAGCACATATCGTTGTAATATAATGTCTTTAACTCTTTCAGGAAGATATCCAGAAGGGGTATGGCTAGGTTGACTGGAATTCTTATTTTTAGTCTTTTGAGGAGTCTATACTAATTTCTGTAACGGTTATTACCTTGTATTTTGAACAAGGCCACAGACACAAACATTTTGTATCAATAAGAGAAGGAAGGGATGGTTGAAAGAGCTCTAAGCAGGGTCTATGACTGACCCCTATACAGCCCTGAGCCACTGCCCTACCTTTCTTGGGGCCCCACCTCCACCATCACATAGTAAAGGGGTGAGACAGGCAAGCTCTGAACAATGTTATACATCTGAGAATATGGTTTATGGTGAGATTTGCTGCCATCTAAAGGTTTACTGTAAAAGTATCTGCACTACTAGAAAAATAATCCAATTCCCAGCCAACCATAATGTACATCTTAAAATAGGCTGCTATCAAAAGTCTCTTTACAAATAAGGATTATTTCAAAGTTTAGAAGCTATAATCTTAAAATGAGTAACGTAATATTTAATCATATGGTTGTCTTCATTATTTATTTAACCCTGTCTGAAAGGGTAAGTTTTTTAACGATTACAGGGAGAATATGTGAAGTTCTAAGTGGAGAACAGGGGCTACACAACAGGACCCAGATTTTATCTAAAATATACAAATATCCCCCAAACAAATACCCATGAGAAAGACTGAAGTATCTTCTGGGGAACAGAAGTACTAGGAAGAAGGGCTGAGCAAGATGGAAATACAACTGGACAAATATGAGAAGCCAGGTATGGTTTTGGTTTCTCACCAGCTCCCTAAGGTGAAGGGGATCACTGGCATCACTTTCCTCTCTAGTCTTCCACTTAAAGGACACAGAGACGTAAGGCCCTTGAATTATTATCTTCTAATGACTTGTAGCTCCTGCAACCAGCAGCCATACCCAGTGTTCAAGAGACACTGGTGCTGTTTACTTTTAACTCTTTGTGGTCCCTTAAGTGCAAATATAAGGAGACTTAGTTCTTTTATATTATTATTTTTTGGTTTTTTGGTACCAGGGATCCAAGTTATGACCTCATACTTGCCAGGCAGGCACTTGTGCCACTGAGCTCTAGCTCAGCCCAGGAGATCATTTTTAGGCTTCAAGCTACCTATGTATTATATTACTCTATGTACTTGATACTTAGTTAAAAAGTGAACTATTTCACATGAGCATCAATAGTTATTATAAGTCAGAAGAATATGGAATTCAGTATCACCCAGAGGTTTCAGAAGGTTCCCATTCCCATCCATTTAACTGTGTGCTGGATTGTGTCAACTTGAATAAGAGAAACTCAACTAAATTGGCTCAGCAATTCCACACCCTGGGGTGTAGAAGGCCCACCCTTAGGCAGTTTGTTACCTGGATGGTCAAAAGGGGAAATGAAGAAGGAAGGATCTGCTTCTATTTCTTTCAAGAAGCTCCAGTTTTCACCTTGAATGTCACCTCCTGGCTTCCATCAAAGACCCATCAGCCTCCTGATAAGGACTTGCACAGGACACTGCAGTGAGCTGCAGACTTTGACCGCTCCTTCGGTCTCCAGGATACAGAGAGACTCTCTGCAAGCTTGCACATCCAACTCTGTGGGCGGCTTGTAAGCCGACCTTTTAAATTCTTACATATTTGTGTATCTTGTATCATATCTGTTCCTTTAGTAAACACTGACTGATATAGTCTGTGATGGCTCACTGTGAAGCAAGCGCTATCTCTAAGAAATAACACCAAGAAGTCAAAGAACAGACTCAGAAGTTGAACAGATCTAGGTTCAAACATTACCCTCCCTCCTTGCCGCCCCCTAACTCAGAGTAAAAAATATGCAATGAGTTTCTTTCCTATTGTAAAGGGGAAACCCACAAGTACTAGGCCACGCTGGTTCCCAGGCATAGCAAACAATTATGTCTGGCCCCAAAATGATCTAGAATATCCCCCAAATAAATAAAACATATATTCAGTGATCATACAAGACTAAGTTATCCTAATATCTCTGGGAAAAAGCACAATTTCCTCCATTTTTGGATCAAGAAACTAACATTCAAACAAGTTCAATATTTGCTCAAAGCCCACACATGGCAAAGAATGAATACATACTCTGGTCAATACAGTTTTGAAGCTCATACACTGAACCAGCACTTGGCACTCACAACACTCGGAAATCTAGATTAGCAACACAATTATAGAAAAAGGCCAGGGAAACCAAGCAGGATGTAAGATGCCTATTATCCCAGCACACAGGAGACTGAGGCAGAAAGATCTCAAATTCAAGGCCAGCCTGGGCTACACAGTAAGTTCACGGCCAGTGGAGACTACACTACAGTCTCAAAACACCAGGTCCCTGGAACCGTTATCCAGTTGTCCACACGGCTGTATAAATATACACAAATCTTTTATTCATCCTACATGTCTCTGACGTCCTCTAACTTTTACTAGGAGTTGAAATATTATGAAGCAAATTATAAACAAGTGCTTTCCAACATGACCCTTTTATTTAAATTGCTTTTCACGAATAGTTGAACTTCAAACACTGTAAAACAAGATAAATTTATAGCAATAAAGGTTTTATTCTTCTCCTTCAACTGCTCATTAGAGAATCTGCGTGCACTCTTATATTAAACAGAACAGATGAACGCTCGTTTGCCTCCACTCCCCTCTGAAACACTATTAAAACTGCAGTAAAGAGATTAAAAAGAGACTGACAGGAAAGGGAAGAACCACAGGCAAAAATCAGGCTCACAGTGGGAAATAGACTGCCAATGAGGAGTAAACAGGGGTGTGCAATGAAGGCCCATCCAGGCCAGAGAGCCTCGCCATCACCAGACTGCTGTGCAGGCAGCCCCCGGTGAGAGCACAAACAGCAGGATACCTAGACTCTATTTAAAGAAAGAACTAAGATGCCCAGAATTTCTTCCTAAGCCAGAGGTACTGCCTCTCTCACCCTGGAGGTTAAGGTGATTCTCTGGAAGTCTGAATTCTAAGACCATACAGAGTCTAGAGATACACTGAAAAACTACGATTAAGAAAATTTCCATATCCAGAATGCCAGACCCGGGCTGGCAATTTAGCTCAATGGTACAGCACCTGCCTGGCAAGTGCAAAGTCGTGAGTTCAATTCCCGGTACCAAAAAAGTAGAATGCCTGGCCCAAGACACATACCCCTCAA